GAAAGCAAAATCACTTGTAATGCAAATGACTAAACACACAGGAAACAGCTCCTGAAGGTGCAACTCTGTTAATCTTTAATGCACCGGGCAGTTTACGCTGCAACGAGCTCAGGGGCCTGAGGGTCCTGCTGGGATTCAGACAGAGAAGTCCGTTGTTCCCACTTCCCACGCGCTGCCGGTGTGAATTCCCCATTGTCGGCTGGTGTCAGGGGCTGAGATTCCTCATTCAGGCCTGGGCCAGGAGCCAGGAGCCAGGTGAGTCGTGTGCATTGTGCATCTGGGGGTTGGGGCCATGCTCAGCTATTTTACAAAGAAAAATGTTCTCAGGAAGGAAAATGCAAGCAGGGGGAATGGCTTCTTTGCAAGGCAGCCTGAAGGAAGGGAGATGGAAAGTACAACGCAGCCCAGCAGCCTCCTGTCCTGGGAGAAGCTCTGTCCCAGGGTGGATTGCATCCCTCTTTGTCTGAATAGAAATGCTGCTACCACTGCCAGGAGGTTGGTTTAAAGCTTAGGTGGAGCAGGAATCAGAGCTGACAGAGTCAATGGGCCTCACGGCTACTTGTCCTCTCCCTGATTCCTTTAATCTCCGTGGAATGAAGATCTTCAATGACCCTCTCCTTTTTATGGTCTTTAATGGGTCCACTAATAAAACTATCATTTCTTCTGCCATTCTGCTGCCCATTAGCTGCTCCTGGTCATGTAGCTCCTACTCCATAGCCCTTCAGGTTGCTTTTATCTCTAAAAACATAAAATCTAGCCTTTTTGAGCATCTTGCCAATGCACGCAATGCTTCACTGACAGTGATTTCCAAAGCTAAGTTAGTTTTAAGAATCTGAAAGAGAGCTGTACCTTTAATTTTAATGACTGCATGTCTAATGAGGCAAAAGCTTTTCATTATTTTTTTCCTTAGTTTGTCTACCCATGTCCTAAAGATGTTAAACCTTACAAAAAAAGAACAAAGGCTTGGCTGGGATGATGTAGTTGGGGCTGGTTCTGCTTTGAGTACAGGGTTGGACTGGAGGTCCCTTCAACCCTCATTGTCTATGATTCTGTGCATGGATTTGTGGTAGCATATCTTATGTATAAAATCATATTCCAATAGTTTCTTTTTATTTTTTATTTTGCTTTTATCTTAAAAAAGACATTAGAAGTGGTACTGATATGTGAGGGTCCCAGGCCTATATAGTTTAAGGGGAGACAAATGTATATTGTGCTGTATGTGTGGTAATGTCCCACACCATCGATAGCACCCTTTATCCCGTATGACTCCAAAGTCAGGGAGAGGATCTAGGATTTTGAAAAGGGGATATTTGGAAACCCAGCTACATGCCCCTTTCATAGGTTGTTTGGGATCTGGGAGTTTGAAGTAGTTTGATTGCCTCGGATTCAGAGTATGAATTTTATAACTCTGCAGCAGCCTGGATTAGCTAGAAACGTGGCATCAGTTGGTCATCAGGGAGCGTGGGCATGTGGAAATGCTGTCCCGCTCGGGATACAGGGTGCTTTGGCATCAGTGGTCCTCGGGCGGTGGGCTCCAGAGTGTAGCTCCCGGGCTCCTGCGGAGAGCTGAGATGCAATTGCTTGATATGGTAAGGACATGGCTGAATGGTATCTCCTCCTTGACCTGCTTGTGAAGGTGTCAGGCCTGGGAACTGAGACAGAGGTGTGCAAATTGTAGGTGATCCCAGCCCCTAGCAATCAAATAACAAGGGGTCAGTTAATTCATAACAAAATGAATGAATGATGCAATGAATTAACAACAAAAAGGGACACACCACCCGCTGAAAGGGGAGTGCAGACTGCAGCCTCTTCTTCCAGAGCACAGGGCTGTAGTTAATACAGCACTTGCCAGCGCACTAAGTCCTTACTTAAATCATGCAGGCATGATCCTGTGACCTTCAATAGCTGTTAATAAAACTTATTTATTACATATTACATGCAATTTGTTTGTTCAGTGCCCAGCCCAATATTGGCTTGTGGCTCTGGATACTGCACTAACTCGGGGCCAATCCATTCCCCAAAGAGTTTGCAGTAGGACTAGGAGATCAGAAGGGGATAGGATGGGGAAATGAGGCATAGAGATAGCAAAGGACTCGTGCAGCGTGTCTCCAGAAGAAGAGTTTTTAAACTTAGTTTTAAACTTTAAGTTCCTGTTGTTGCTTTGTTGTTAGGTTTTCTTTCTCACCCAGTATGTCATTAACTTTTGGAGCTTGTTGCCATCAGATGTGGTGGAAGCTGAGAGTCTAGCTAGATCCAAAGAGGGACTGGACATGTTCGAGGAGGAAGGGGGCATTGGGTTAGGGTTAGGGTTAGAGGCACGTCCTCTGCATCAGAACTGCCTGGACCTTCAATTCTGGAGGTTGCAAGGGAGAAAGGAGCAGGGGGAAAAACCTGGGTCGTGCCCGGTGCACTCTCCCTGCCAGCCTCCGCTCTCTCACCCCTGTCTCTGGTGTCACACGGTGGCAGAGCAGATCTGCTGCATGCTTTCCCTTCCTGTGAGAGCACAGCCTCTATGGACCCTGCAGACCCAATTCAGCATAGAGTTGCCCTTGAAATGAATCAGGAGTGAAACTGTCCTGGGGGAAATCCAAGGTCTGTTTTTACCAGGACACACCAGGATCACTCCCAGCAAAGTCTTTTATCCTGGGATCCTACAAAAGTACAAGCCCATGGTCCCACTTCGAGTACAGGTGGAGTATCCAAGACTGTTTCCTGGGGCAATTTCAGCTAATTAATTGCCATTTAAGCTGTAAGTGTAAATGATTGCCCTGTGCCTATTTTAATGGGAGTCAAACCTCAGGACAATCAGACCTGACATAAAACTGACATCTGTTTTTACCCTCGGTGTCTGTCCCAACTCAAAGCAAGCAGGTGCAACGTCTGCCTTCCTCCCACCCCGTGACGAGACGCTGGATCCCAGGAGAGCTGCTCCCTTGTTTCGATGATGGTCTGAGACAAAACTGGTTTAAATCATGAGGTTTATGTCATTGAAAGTAACAAGGACAAGTGCACCAGGGAGGACAAGGCTAAGCCTCCCTGGGGGCACAGACAGACAACGTGGTGGATGGTTGCTCAGGCGTTTATTAGCAACTGGCTTATTGGCTTCTGGCCGGGGCACGGTGGGCAGGGTGATGGTGGGGGGAGCTGGGAATGACATCCAGCTCAGTCAAGGAGTTACGTCTTCTTTTCTCTTCCTCAACAGGGAGGGTGCCCCGTGCAAATCTGCGTTGTGCCATGCACAGTTTCAACAACAGCAGCTTTGACCCCATCACGTTCATCCTGACCGGCATCCCGGGCATGGAGCAGTCCCACATCTGGATCTCGGTCCCCTTCTTCCTGATGTATTTGGCAGCCCTTCTCGCCAACTCCGTCATCCTCTTCATCATCAGCACGGAGCGGAGCCTCCACGAGCCCACATACCTGTTCCTCGCCATGCTGGCCGTGGCCGACCTCATGCTGTCCACCACCACCGTGCCCAAGATGCTGGCCATCTTTTGGTTCGGCGCCAAGACAATTTCATTCGACGCCTGCATTACCCAGATGTTTTTTACCCATTTCAGCTTCATCGCGGAGTCAACGGTGCTGCTGGCCATGGCGTTCGACCGCTACATCGCCATCTGCGACCCGCTGCGTTACCTGATGATCCTAACGCCCTCCGTGATAGGGAAAATCGCAGTGACCGCAGTGCTCAGGGGCCTGTGCATCATGTTCCCACCCATCTTCCTCCTGAAGCGGTTGCCCTACTGTGGGAACAACGTCATGCCCCACACGTACTGCGAGCACATGGGCATCGCTCGCCAGGCCTGCGCGGATATAAGAGCCAACATCTGGTACGGCTTGACCACGACTCTGCTCTCGTCGGGAATAGACGTGGTGCTCATTGCCATCTCCTACGCCCTCATCCTCCGGGCTGTCTTCCAGCTCCCATCCAAGGATGCCCGGCTCAAAGCTCTGAGCACCTGCGGCTCTCACCTCGGTGTCATCCTGATGTTTTACATGCCGGCCTTTTTCTCCTTTCTCACCCATCGGTTTGGCCACAATATTCCCGGCTGCATCCACATCCTCTTGGCCAACTTCTATGTGGTGGTGCCCCCCATGCTAAACCCCATCGTGTACGGGGTGAAAACCAAGCAGGTTCGGGAGAGCGTGATACGCGTGTTCTCCCAGCCCAGGGGGGTTCCCTGCGTCGGCTGGTGAAGAGGAGGCTCGGTCATCCCTGATGGAGATAGACCTAGACTATGCATGAGTGAACGGTGCTGCAGTTGCACCCTGACCTGGACAGGGAAGCTGTCCTGCCGCTTCCCTGGCATGAAATTGCAGGGTAGGTCAGGGCAGCAGGTTTCCATGCACATTTATTGTATGGGTCAGGAGGAAAGTCAGACCCATCCAACACTGGTTGGAAGCCAAGTATTCAGGCCACAACTATGAATCTGGGCAAACCCACCTACCACCATTGCTTCCAACAGTGGCAATGGTATCCCATTTCCCCTCACCCCCTGCTTGTCATCAGCAGCTGTGAAAAAGGCAAATTATAAAGGGATACTTCCCGTTTTGTTTGCAATTCTCTCCATCATCCCTAACATGTACCTATGCATGGAAAATTTTGCAAAAATGCAATTTTCCGCAGGTTATGCATGGGTGTGAGTTATATCCGTGTGCACGCTATATGCGCGAAAATACGGTAAATTCATGGTGCACCCACACCTTGAATCCTGTGCCCAGTTCTGGTCCTCACACCTCAAAAAGGAGATAGAGGAAATACAGAAGGTCCAGAGGAGGGCAACAAGGGGGATGAGTGGTCTGGAGGGGCTTCTGTATGAGGAGAGATGGAAGAGGCCAGGCTTGGTCAGTTTAGAAAAGAGATGCTTGAGGGGGCACATGAGACTGAGATTGTCCTCAGCACTACACTCATGGCATAAACCCAGTCACTGCCTCATGTTGTTCACAACGGGGCCCTGATCCTGGAGTGGATCGTTCTTGCAGTGCCCAAGCTCAGCCGGTGTGCTTTAGGAAAGGTCAGAAAAGTTTTCCTGAAGAAGTAACGGGAGGATGAAGAATGAGCTGCAAACTCTTGTTAGGAAAGAAATAAATCTTTGATGAGGCCAAATGATCCCTTGACTCTGCTACTTCATTCCCTGAGACCAGGTATTGATTATTCCCTGATGCTGGTATTGATTATTGGCTGGCCTTCTCCCTGGGGCTACAGCTAGATTTGGGAGAAGCTGGAGTAGGTGCTTGGAGTGCATAGTCTCTGGGGGCCTTTACGGTGGTTTACTGTAGTAGGGATCTCTCCGCTGGAGGATGCTGGATGCATGGTCTGAACCTGTCTCCCTATTACTAACCATGCCACTCTTCTACCTGCCTGGCCAGGTAATAGGATGACGTCCTGCGGGTGACCGAGGGCCCCAAGCACCCGTGAGTAGGAGGGTCTGCCTGGAGTTTGGTGCAGAAGGAATACATTCTGCAGTACCAATACTGTATTCACAATAGATACCCAATCCCATTGCTTTCTCCATATTCCTGGCTCCCTGCTGTCCCGCTGCGTGGCCGGCTTGCAATGCGCAGCAGGGTGGAAGGAGGAGTTGGAGGGAAAAGAGGTCCCTGGCTCACTGGAGCAGCCGAAGGAGGCTCTTTAAGGCAGCTCAGGGGGAGGCAAAGTTGTCTGGGAAGAAGAGAGAGACTTGGAGAAGGGGCTGGGGAACGTGGTGGCCTGCAACCGGCTCTGGCAGTCAGGTCCAGCCAAATGGAGAAGGGCCGTGAGCTCCGCTGCATGAGGGTCCACCCCCACTACCCCTCTCTCCTTTGCACAACCACCTTTGTCATGTGCTTCTATGCCTGCCCTCTTGTTTCCAAGCCTCTTTTGGTTATTCAGGTCTCTGGCACCCCTCCAGAGAAGCAAACTTTCTAGCCAAGTAGCTGCTGACAGTCCATAATTATTACAGCACATTTTGCCCCCTAAGGAGAGGGAGCCCAGGCTCTTATAGAAATGAATGGCCAACAGGAACCTCAGGAAGTCAACTTGTCCCTGCCTCAGTGCAAGGGCTTGGAGGTATTTCAGAACAAAGTGGACAAACATCTATATCCTGGGTGGACATGTCCAAGGAAGGAGATTTCAGCGCCTCCCAGAAGAGCGCCCTTGGGGATTTCACCACCTTAGAAAGTTGATCTCCATACACAACTTCAATCTCCTTCCTACAATCAGTGGGAAGTAAGTAGCATATTTTGGATAAGGATGATTCTGCCTCTGGTGGGGCGATGGATTGGTGACCTCTGGAGCTCCCTTCCAGCCCTACTTCTCTCTATCACATCCACGGTCCCACCTATTAGTAAGACTATGCTATACGGCTACAGAAAACACTTGATTTTTGTCCTCTAAACAAGTCCCTCATGTATTGGAAAGTTATCTTATTTTATTCTCTTTCCTAGCAAAGCCAACCCAGTCCCTTCAACCTCTTGAGTTCAGTCCCGGTGTCCACACATAGCATTTCACCGATGTGCAGGGAAGGGACCCTGCGAGATTTATCCAAAGAGCCCTAGGATTCGGTGTTTTGTGGCTTTGCTGTGTTTGAAGGCCCAAAGCCCACATCTGGAAACAAAACCAAAACAACCCCGCCACAGGCCAATGGTAAAACGTGGGGGAGATCATGGCATGGCCAATGCCCTGCCATTGCAATGGCAGAGATGTTATGAGGCTAATAGATGCTCAGGTCATAGGATGCTATGGCTGGAAGGGACCTGTCAGAGTTGGGTCACCCCTGATGAAACCATTGCACTCGAGTTTGTGTCCAACCTGCTCCTGAAAAACTCCAGGGACCCTCTTATTCCCCCTGAAAGGGTTGGAAAGGCATTATTGACCCTGTAGTTTGTTAGCCCCCTGACCCCTGCAGCATCCATCCTTACAGCGAAGCTGGCTGCAAGCTTGCCCGACAAGAGCAGACCCACGCCCCTGCTGTTGCATTGACGTCTTGTTCAGGCATTTGCAAAGTCCTAGGTGCTCAGAGTAAGCTGCCTTCCAGGACGTGGATGGAGCTAACTCCTAGGGCTGCTGCAGCTTATGACATCAGCTGTGATGTCATAGTGCAGAGCCAGGCAGGGAGCAGCAGTAGGAGAGAGGGAGGTTAGGAATCAGTGGAGTCTATGAGCCGTGGATTGGGTGGGAGATTTACGGTGCAGATATATTCCCCATTGACTGATTCAGTCGCAGGTTTTGGAGAGGCGTCGATCAGAGGAGTCCGTCGTGGTGCAACTCCAGGGCCTGCGCCTTTGCCTCTTATCTCCACTCCTAGCATCCCCATTTCTCCTGGGAGGAAGGTGGCCAATGCCACATCACTGAGGCACCGTCATGCTGAGGATAGCCAAATCCAGGGATGTCCTTGGAGTGGAGCAAGAGGCACCCCCGGCGCCCCGACTCATCAGGGTGACGGTGAAGACCCCCCGGCAAATGGAGCCGTTCATGGTGCCCGTGGACAGAGGCGTTAAGGAGTTTAAGGAAGAAGTCGCGGCCCGCTTCTCTTCTCCCCCCGACCGGCTCGTACTCATATTCGTCGGCCGGATTTTAAAGGATCACAAGACCCTGAGTGAGCATGGCATCCACGAGGACGCCACCGTCTACCTGGTCATCCTGTCCCGGGGCAGACACCTGGATCATCCCAGGCATGAGACCGTCTCCTCCTGGCACGTGCCTGCTGTTCTTCCAGCCCAAAGCAGCGCCCCGTCCAGGCCCAGCTCGGTGGGCAGCACCGCCGTCAGCACAGACAGCCTGCAGCATCTCATCAGCACCCTCGGCTTGCACACGGCCAACTTCTCCGACTTCCAGAGCCAGCTCCAGGCCCACCCCGAAATGATGCTCCGTCTCCTGCAGGACCCCTTCATTCAGAGCAGGCTATCCCAGCCCGATCTCATGGTGGAGCTGGTCACGGACGATGCCCTGAAGGAGGAAGTGATGAGGAGGATCCCGGCGCTCGCCCGCTTCCCGAACATGCCGGAGCTGCTGCGGCTCGCGCTGGAGCTGGCTCGGCGCCCGGCCGCGGTGTGGGAAATCATGCAAAGCCCCAGCTCGGCCTTGAGCTACGTGGCAAGCATCCTGAGCAGGGAGAAGGCAGAGCCGAGCGTCTGCTCTGAGGATCAGGGAGCTGCATGGAAAGCAGCCCCCAAGCAGGTTGCTTCTGTTGAGGGCCAGGCCTCCTTGGCCAGCCCCCAAAGCCAGCTGAGTGCCGAAATCAGGCACCTTTTCTCCCAACAAGCTGCAGCGTCAATAAAGCCGTTCCAGCCCCTCCAGGGGAATAAGGGGGTTCCTGGATCTCACCAGGACGGCAGCTGCACGAGCCTCGGTGGTGATGTGAGCAGCAGCATGGGGCAGAGATGCAGCATCCCAGACCTGGCACCCACATCCACAGCGGCAAAAAGCCTCCTCCAGCAGCTCATGAAGCAGCTCATGAAGCACCTTCTGTCTGGCCCATGCACGAGGGGCACCAGGCAGATGCTCCCCCTTGACTTGGAGAGGAAGGGGCTCCAGAAGGCCTCTGGGGAGCCTCAGGTTCGAGAGCAGCCGCTCTCAGCTGCCTTCTTGCAGCACACGTGCAACCTGGAGAGACCGGGAGCCGTGCCGAATGCAAGAGACGTGCAGATGCTGGCCCGGATTGAGCAGAGTTTGCAGATGCTTGCAGATTCTTGCAGGTCTCCCACTGTGGGGTACACCTCCCGTGGAGGGGCTGAGGAGCGCTGGGGCAGCTCCCAGTGAAAATGCCCACAGAAGCCAGCAAGCTCCTGGTTCAACAGATGCTGATTTTGGTGAAGACTGGCCCCCGCGAGTGCCTGCAGCATCTCTACCCAACAGCTGGAGCTTGCTGTCTGCAAAGGGCTTCCTGAATGCCAGTCAGCTGTGATAGAGATCAGGGGAGATATCCAGGCAGTCTCCATCGGAGCCATGATTAAAAGCCTATTTTGTTCCCAATCCTCCCAGACTCTGTGTTGTGACTTGCAAAGAAAAGGAATGAGTTCAGGTTTGGTTTGGGGTTTTTTTTTTTTTTTCTAAATCCTTCGCTTGCTTGCTTTATTTCAGGTCCGGTTTCTCTGTGGTCCTTCCTTAGGCCAGAGTGAGATTCCCGCGGTGGGCAGCAAAGCCCTTTATTTCCCACTGATGCATTCAATCCCTGGTCAGCAAAGCAGGGATAAAAATTTTACAGCTGGTCCAAACCAGTATGAGGATAGCTTTGAGGAGCTGAGATTGGTGTCTGACCGGCTGGTTTGGCTGGTTCAGCCTTGCACAATGAACGTGTAGCAGGACCCTAAGGTGCCACCTTGCCCTGCCTTCAGGCTTCAGGTTAGAGCTGGTTTCTATCCCAGCAGCTACAGAGTTGGTACACATTTTCAGGCACTCCCTTTATAGGTGGTTGGCTCTTTTTCTAGATGGACACTAGTCATTTTTATCCTGTAATAATTACTTAGCTGGTTAATCATGCAATACATTTAGACCAGTCACACATGCAAACTGTGGGATAATTACTTTGCACTTGAGGCTGGTCTTACTTTCACGCCATAAATATAAAGGGGCTATGCATGCATTGACCCAGTTAGTTGCATAATATATGTACAGGGGCCTTGGAGACTCCTCTGCTCAGCCTTTAGGCTAACCCAGCTAATTTCATTTCTCAGCTTTACTTCTTCTAGTCCTAGCTGGCAGAGGACATAACTGGTTTCCAGTGATACGTCTGTTCTTGAGCCAACATCGCCCTTTAGCTTTGAAGTTTATTCCCCCTTTGCAGGCAGACATGTGGGATCCACAAGAGTTATTGGTTGTGGATAAAATGAGGCAGGAGGTTTCTAACGAGCCTGAACCTGTCTCCCAGGGACCAACCACCGACCGTATTTTCAGCAGCTCGATTTGTTGATGGACACAATTTCATGCCCCCTTTGCCAGCGATAGCTGGCAGGATGGGAGACTCCACTTTTCTGGGATGTTTCACCCCCCAAAAAATCAAAACGTAAAGACCTTTCTGTTGGTCAAAGTTTTAGGTGGAAAGTATTTTACCAGCTTTCACAGTGCATTTCAACATAGGATGCCTTTTGGGAATCTGTTCTTTTGGCTTGCATTACCCATGTGCCTCCCACCCCTCTTCTCTCCAGTGGCATGGCTGAGAGGCCTCAGCTCCTTAAGTCAACCAGTATGGCTAGGGCCTGTCAGAGGAAATGCTGGTCCTCACTGGCTCTGGAAAAAACCCCAAAACAAACCAAGGCAACTCTGATTGAATCCAGGAGGACTGCTTGCAAGGACAATCTCCCCCCGAGGCGCTGGGTGCTGCCGCTGCCCAGGCTGGGGATGGGCTGGGCTGTGCCAATGCCTCTGCTGGGACCAACCCCGCAGGGTCCTGGCTGGAGAGTCTTGCCCCCGCGCTCAGGCTCAGACCAATGCTGCATTGGGGGCAGGAAGGGATTTCCACGCTGGTCAGATTGGTATGAACTGGGGCGTTTCACTTTCCTCTGTAGCAGGAGCACGGCCTCTACTTAAAATCTCTTGATCTTATATTAACAGCAGGACTTTGGCCTCTGCGATCCCCCTGCTGTCCCTGTGGCAGGGTCAGGTGTGATGTCTGTGCAACCTCCGAGCAAAACTAGTCCCCCCTGATGCAACACCAATGCATTTCTCTGGGCTGGTTTGCACAGGGCTGATCCTGCCTCCGGCAGGAGTTAGAGAATCGGGGCTGGAAGGGAGCTCCAGAGGTCACATCTAGTCTATGATTATTAGGGCCATGAATAGGATTTTGCTAAGTGAACAGAGGTAGACTGAGCGCAGCTGTTTTAACCCCTGCAGTTCCCTGACCCGACACAGAAACACTCATCTCACCTTACCACCTTGGACCTCCTTCTGGTACCAAGGTGAGAGTCTAGGCTGCAAGGAGCCCCCGCGGCCCAAATGCAGCCTGGAGGAGGAGAAGGGGGCAGGTGAATTTGATCACCCCTGCCTTAAGAGATCCCTCTGTGGCTTCCCCCAGTTTTCACCCCTTTCCTGCACCCACGCAATGGTTCAAAAGTGCGGGTGAGTCAATCAGTCACCAGCACGGCTTGTCCCATGCATACCAAATGAGGTCTTAGCCAGCTCCCCCGGCAGATTTATAGTCAAAGCCTGGTTAAAATGTTAGCTTAATTGCTCTGCTCTGCTGGCTGGGACATACTGGTCTGGAAGGCACCATGGGGTGAGCGGCTCGCCGTGGGAGGGCTGGCAGGGCTAGGGCTGAGCGGTCAAAGCGAATGCCTTTGGGATTCACACCAGAGATGTCTTGCTCCTCATGGGCATGGCCAGGAAGCCAGGCAGGATGCACAGAGGCTCCATGAAATGCAACGGGGTGAACGGGGAATGGTCTCCTGGAGCAGGCTGCTTAGGGTAGATGTGTCATCTCCTCTCTGGCATTGGCGGTGTTTGGAAGGAGGTTGAATAATACTGGTCAGAGGGGGTCTAGGTGTAGACCCCCAGAAGCCTGAGAAATACCCACAGGAAAGCACAGGCATGGGTCACATTATTTCCCCCTCTCCTATTAGCACAGTACATGTCAGGGCTCACTTCCCCCAGGAGCGCTGGGTGCTGCTGCAGCCTGGGATGGGGATGGGGATGGGGACTGGGCTGTGCCGATGCTCCTGGGGTCCTGGCCAGAGGGTCTTGCCCCTCTGCTCGGGCTCAGCCCGATGCCACATTTGGGGTCAGGGGTGGCCTTGTCATTTTGCTCAGGGGTTGGACAGTGGGTTTGTTTGGACAGGGGTGATCCTGCCTCATGAAGCGGGTGGGCTAGGTGTGACCTCCGGAGGTCCCCTGCAGCCCCACTGCTCTCTGATCCTGCAGAAAAACCCTTTCTTTTTCACTCCTTTTGAAGCAGGCCCTTGGTGATGCTTTGCACTCACTGCCAGCTTAGAGCAGGGTCCAGCAAGGCCTGCATGTGCCGGGTCGGATCCATCCAGCACACACGCGAGACCCGTGGTCACCAGCACGTAAGAGAGTTACCGAACAGCGGTGGTCTTCAGTGCGGTCCCAAAGGTCAGGATGTGCTCGGGACCAGGACTCCTGGGATCTCAAAGCAGCAGGAGGCTTGAGCGACCCAGTCCAGGCACTGCTTTGCAGCCTCTTCTCCTTGTGATCTCAGCCCCTTGTAGCTGCCTCTCTTCTAGAAACTCCCATTACACCTGTCCCATTACATCTGTCTGTTTTGGAGGGGTGTCCTGGTCTCTGTTGCTTTCAAGGGGGGGAACAGGGGTCCCAAAAACCCTTTGCATTGTGCAAACCCTGATGCAGCTGGGATTTCCACTAAGCTCAACCTTTATCCTCTGGGTTCTTTTCAAGTCCAGACCAGTTCGTATACATACAGGGCTGGGAACCACTAAAAAGCACATCCTTGCCACAAAGTCCCTAGGCTGCAAATGCAAACTTGGACCTGGGACATTATAGCCACTCACATCCTTACCACAAAGCACGTGGCAGCTTGTGTCCTCATTGATACCAGTGCAAAATGCATGTGAAATGCTGACTCTTGGCTTGAAGATGGATTTCAGGAAAAGACCCTGAGTATGTGGATATGGAAAACCTTTCCCCAAGCACCAAAGCAGCAGAAATTGCGCTCACTGAGAAGGACGCTGAAACTATACACAGTAGAGTCCAAGGAGGCTTCACTCTCTGGAAACCAGAGGGTGAAGCAGTCAATGCAGAGGAAGGTAAGCAGGGACAAGATGCAGAGAAACAAAAGGGTTAAGGGCTGGTTGCCTTTCATCAGCAAGCTCAAAGCTCACAAGGATCTACTTCCCCAGGGCTTTTATCCTGGCTCCCTGCGCTTCCCCGCCCAGGATTCAATATCCTCATCTCCCAGCTCTGGTCAGTGTGCATGCCTTGCTGCCTGCAGCTCCCTCCCAAGCAGAGATCCCTCATTCACAGCAGAAGCAGGAGCCTGGTGAGAAGTCTGGGTTTGGGACAGCCCTTTGCTATTTGAGCAGAGGGTGAGGGTTTGAGACTATTAGAGCTTCTTTCAGGTGAGGACTTGGCTGCTTTTTGCAGACCGTGACTGTGTGAGCCAGCGACATCTCCCCATCTCTGCTCCCCTCCTGGCTGCAAACTCTGTCTGTAGTATCCCTGGGTGCCAGGGTCTCCAGGATGCTGGAGGTGGGGACCAGAAAGTGCCTTTCCATGGCCTGCCCAGCTTGCAGGAGGAGTCTGCTTTACACAGAGGGGTCTGGCCTCAGGTTTCCGACTTGTGAAGCTTCACAGGCAACGTGTTGTGTGAGCTCCTTCCTCACCCCCCCAGCCCTCTATAATGCAGATGTCGTAGTGCCCAGGGCCACAGAGGCAGGTCAAGGTGCCCTTGGTGCAAGGTGTTGTATGGACCAGGTACATAAGGG